ATTCTTTTACTGCAGGTCAGTCAAGCATTAGTGTTAGAAGCAACACTTTTTGAGAGGGGAGATGCGATTTAGAGTACTCCCTGGGAAATTCTTTCAGTTGATGGTGTTACAAGCATAAAATGTGAACTGTTGTCAAAACTGTGAGCTGATGTGCTGAACAGAATACATGTGAGAGATGTCTCACTGAGGCAAAGATCAACCAAGGCTCATGCAGAATTGGTTTCACAGTTGTAGATGTTTTAAATTGAACAAGTTCTGGTTTCACTGTAGCCTGTTAAAACTTACACCATTTCATGGTCCTCCAAATCTCTTAATATCTCCTATCAGTATTCTTATTCCACAGCTGGAATAGTTTCAGTATGCCAGCTGAAACATTCTTTACTTGAAAATGCTGATCAAGCGATCTTGAAAACCCAGAGGTATACATGTAAATCTTGAACTATATCTGAAATAGTCTAATTCAATTGGTTAAAATGGATTTTGTCCATGACACATATAAGCTTGATTCCTCTCATTTAGTGCTATTTAAAGGAGAAGTTTCCCTTCAGTCCATACTGTAAGAACTTGGTAAATGAGAAACCTTAAGAACAGACTTTCTCATCCACTGATTGAGGATCCTCCGCACGGGTCCAAATGCTGATCTTGAAAGTCTGTTTTTAAGGTCAGGCCCTCAGAGGAGCTTCCCTGATATCTAATAAGAGAGTGCTGATTTCCTTTTCTAGGACTATCTCTTGGACTTTTAGAAGGTATCATGATGTAGATTTTTCCTGTCTATATCAGGCACAGCCACAGTCACGTTTTACTGTCTGTAAACAATTGTGACACTGTGTAGTGAGAGGCCAGCTGGCTCCTCCATTCACCTCATATAACATTCCTAAAAGCTGGATTTGCTGACCACAGCTGTGTCAGCACTTACACTTAAGTTATACAGATTTACAATATAAAATGATTTTCTGAAAGTTATCTTGGTTTTATTGATTTTTTGACAAACAGGAATAATTGTTATGATCTGCTGAGGAGAACAGGACTGCTTTAAGGCACAAAACTGTATTACTAACTTCAGTGTCAGAACAATAGTACAATGGTCAAATGTCACTCCTGAGCTGCAGTAATACATCAGATTTGGTTTATCTGCTGTGATTTAGTAGTACTGGATTTTAAATACCCATTGCCATCACTGTAGCCACACAGTTCCTGTGACAAATATATGTCTCACAGTCAAAAGACTGACATAAATTAAGTACATTCACATGCTTCAACACCCTCTACCAACAAGACCATTTCTGATTTTCACATACTCAAGGGAAAGACAAACCAATTCCAAGAAGATAGCTGTAAATAGTGTCTTAAGAAAGGACCAGAGAGGAATTAGGGTTCAATTAAATTGAGGTTCAGCTTTGGACCATGGGGAGACTAAAAAGCTCCCAATGGGAGACCAAAAGGCCCAGGAAGGTTCACAGGGGATGGAATTGCCATGGACCGTTGAAGTCTTTAACAACCATGCGTCTAAGCTTTGTGCCTGGTGACTGCTGCTGTGTAAGATAAACTGGAATACTTAAACCTGGATCTGAGATGCTCCCCATGCAGAGTTGCACCTAAATTAATGTCCAGAAAATGGCAAATCCTTGTTTTTCTGTTGGTTGTAATTCTGAGCAACAAATATGGGCTTGGTGGACAGGGATGTCATGAGGCAACATCTCTATAGTGATCTTCCAGTGCTCTTTCAAGCACACAGAAATGCCAGTTTTTATAAGAATCCACTCCTTGAAGAATTCTTCAGTTTTTCCACGTAATTTTTATTGTACAAAGAAGACTATTTACATTTGTTTCTGCTTTGGTATCACATGGTTTTAGATAAGAGTTAACATTAGCCTCTTAATATAATATGCAAATATAAGCACATACCGGATTCAGTCTAAATTTAAGATACACTATAAAAACCACATTATGAAAGGAACAAAATGAATTTTCAGTCACTGGGAGTATCTCTGCTGTATCCTTCATCATTCTGAAGAAATGGATAAGGAAACGATGATGGAAAGTCTCTAACATACAAAAGCAGCTTTAATAATTGAAAAAAATGAACTGGACTGTACAAAAGTGTGGATATTCTCGGGTTATCTTGCAGTGTTTCATGGAATAAGGTCTGAAGAACAATGGAGATATTTTTAATTCTTAAATGTATTTGGTTGACAAGAAAAGTTAATGGGAACAGATTGTTCACAAACAGAAATTACTCCATGACTTACCTATAACATACAGTGTTACAGATTGTTGCACATGAGGACAGTGCTTAACTGAAAGCCATTAACTGAAAGCTGATATTCTAATTTTTCATTAATTTACAGAATTGTTTCTCCTAAGTTAATATTCTCAGATGCAAGTAATGCATTCTCAAACTCCAAAGCGTCTTATTGTAGTGCATGATTTTACATTTTCAAATACTCCTAATTGGTTCTACTGCTGTCTTGGAGCAGGAGATGAAGTATTCCTCTGTGCAGAAGAGCAACCATCACTGGTATTTCTGTTTGAGACTTTGGCGGCCAAAGAGAAAAACATGCTCTTTTCAGCCCACTGCTCAGTTTTTATCTCAATTGCAAGAGGAAGCAAGGCAGTGCTGGCAATGTAGTGAGGTTTTTGTTTTACCAACATGCCTCACTTAAGCTAAAGGCAAATCTGAAATATAGCACTAATGAAGATGAAGGACTATGGATAATACTTTGATGCATTGTTGTTCCTCCCCTTGTAACTCGCTCTGAGTGCCACCAAACAGGGCCATAGGGGCCACGGCCACCTCCTATGGGAACACGGCCCAGGAGCGGGACGGGAGAGGGCGGGATGGGACGGGACGGAGCCGGTCCGGGAGGAAGCTTCCCTCCCTCAGCCGCTTCGACCACTCTCGTGTCCGTCACCTCTCGCCTCTGACGCAGGGTGGCTGTGGTGTCTTTGGCAGTACGCGGCGGCATTGCACCCTGGCACCGCTTGTCTGCCCAATGAACTCGCGCCGGCTCCACCTCAGGCTTTGGGAGCCGGCGATAACCTCTCTGTGGCATGGGAGGCACTCACCGCCAGCAGGCTGCTGTACTCCGGGACTGTGGACGCACAAGGTGACAGGATAGATGCTACAGCTGTTAATGGTTACTACATCTTCCGTGATCACAGGTAGATGCAAGCAGTGTGGCATGCCCCTCTAGTCCTGTCAGGTTGCCCAGAGGAGACTGCCTTTGCTCTCTTTGGAGCTGTGTTTTGTTTCCAGAATTTCCTCAAAATTTGCAGACGAACGCTGCTATTTCATTATATGTTTGTAGTATCTCACTGCTGAAGGAACCACAGCTAGGGACTTAAGGGCGGGCATGATGTAACTCCTTGCCTTTCCATCATACCTGGCACAGCTAAAAAGTATATCAGCTATCTACCAGACAGTAGATACCTGAGGATATTGGCAGTTAATGGAGATGTAACTGAAAAGGTTGTTCCTCTGGTCTACATAAATGCTTCTCTGAAGTCGTTCCCTGCTGAGTTTCTCAAGCCCAAATTCAATATCATTATTAAATAATCATCAGCATTTTACTCTCCGTTCTTGGTTGTCTGAGTTCCAGCTACTGTCAGCAACCATGAAGATCAGGGAAGGCTAGAAAAGAGCATTTGGGGATGAAATAGTCAAGAATATTAAAGATAAATCCATGTTGATTATAACTGCTTGTTCAAATGGCTCATTCAGTATCTGAATGCAAAGAATTTTTGTTCTGTGCGCAGCCATCAGCACCACTCTGCTTCTAGGCAAATGTGATTTCCATAAAATATCTGACAACTTTAAAATTTTTAATCATCTAAGGAGTTTGTTGTCATTACTTTAAAACCCTGTGTCAGCACGTGGAATGGGAAAAAGACTTATTGCTACACCATATTCAGCCCTTGAACTGAAATGCTATTTGGACTGAAATGCTATTTGGACCAGAATTCTGACTTACTTTTACCAGGAAAACTTTTTCTTTAGGGTTTCTACTAAAATCAGTGAAGCCATTACAGGTATAAGAGGGCATTCAAAATTAATAAAAGTGCTAGGAGCTAGATCTTACAGGACACATGTGAAAGCCCATAGAAATGATTAAGAAGTATGATGTGAACATAGGAGTCTGCCACGGGCCCTGCAGTTACATGAACTGGTCAACATCAGTGCCACTCTTTGGTGTTAAGCATCTGTAAGGCTTTCCACAGGGTCCCACACAACACCCTTATCTCCAAACTGCGTTCGAAGGGTGGACTCTTTGGTGGATAAGGAATTGACTGGATGGACGCAGCCAGAGAGTTGTGGTCACTGGCTCTTATGTCTCGGGGAGGACAGTGATGAGGGGTGTCCCTCAGGGTTCTGTCTTGGGACCAGTGCTCTTCAATTTATGCATCAATGACACAGACGGGTGAGACTGAGTGCACCCTCAGTGAGTTTGCAAATGACATGAAGCTGAGCCATGTGGTTGACACAACAGAAGGATGGGATGCTATTCAGGAGAACCTGAACAAGCTTGAAAAGTGGACCAACAAGAACCTCATGAAGACAGTCTGGGAGAAGGCTTCAGGGAGACTTCATTATGGCCTTCCAGGACTTGAAAGAGGCTTATAAAAAAGAGGGAGAGTGGCTTTATACATGGGCAAATAGTGATAGGACAAGGGGGAATGGGTTTAAAGTAAAAGAGGAGAGATTTAGATGAGATGTTAGGAAGAAGTTCTTTACTCAAGAGGGTGGTGAGGCACTGGAATAGGTTGCCCGTAGAAGTTGTGGATACCCCATCCCTGGAGCTGTTCAAGGCCAGCTTGGATGGGGACCTGAGCAACCTGATCTAGTTGAAGGTGGGATTTTAGGGATTGTAACAAAGTGATTGTTAAGGTCCCTTCCAGCCCAAGCCTTTCTATGATTCTATATATATGTATATCTAAACTGTGTGAATCAGCCATAATATAGTCTGTCACAGTGTAATGTGCAAGGACATTTATTTATCTACTGCTAGAGTACTCCTTTTTATCAGGTGCATTAACCCACATACACACATGATGTTTTATTTAGTATTTCATCTGCATTGGTCAACTATGTCAAATAGCTGCCAAAGGATTTCAAAACCACTTTCCCATTAAAATTACTGTAAATGTGATAATTTATAAGTTCTATTTTTGTATCTTTATAAACAACATGCTGAAGACTACTTGTTAAGAGATTACAACTCAGCAACTATTTTCTGGCATAATCCTACATTTCAGAATTTTTAAGTAGCTTTGTACTTTATTGGAATCTCTCCTAAAACAGTGGATGAAGTCAGAGTCACTCATCATGTTTGCTTCATTACTAATTGATAAACCAGTGCCTTCAGATGATGCCATTCCATTTAATGAATTGCTGATGATCCCCATTGACTGCATCTGTATTGAAAAGAGGAAAAGAAGTACAACTTGTAACTACACATACAACAAATCTTGAAAATGCTAGTGCAGAAGTCAACTGAGGCATCACTATGTTGGGATGTGCTACTCCAGATCTTTCACATACTTACTGAAGATACATGTAAAGTTCCTTACATAGAAAAAGATTTTTTATCCTATACAACCTTTAGACTAGACTGAAATGATTTGATATACTATTAATGAATACTGGGGTATAGCTCCATCTGAGTTTAAGTAGAGAAACCCCTGTTTGGTAATCATTAGGTCCTCTTGAAGAGTTATAGTGAATCTGTCTTGAGACTTTTTAGCCATTTATTTTAATAATGGCTTTGTAAAGGGAAGCTTCTAATGTGAGCATCCACCAGTGCTGTTTAACCTGGTGAACTCTGCAGACTGTGATCACCTCTCAGAGTAGGAGCTTCACAACAGAAGCAACTTTAGAATTTTTCTGTCTTACAGAAAAACATGGCTGCAAAATATGGAATGCATTTGCATTGTTTGTTAATTTTTGTAATTACATTCCTACCCTGTGGTATGTCCATAGTACAGAGATACTTCAAAGCTTTCCCTCTTAGTAATTCCTTCAAAGGTGTTTTAGATAAAATTAAGCAAGTAAATATACAAAAAGTATGTAGCTAATTTATAGAGTTTGATGGTTTGCTTCAGCTACAGAATGAAGCAAAGGTCAGGCTTTGAGGTTTAACACTTCTGAACTTTAAGACCATTTTAACACAAAACCATGGCTACATTTGGAAAATAGAATTTCTATTTGTAGCTCTGAGTCACCCTAATCAGGGCTGCATTTTAGAGCAGGGTACAATTCAGCCTATCCTAGTAGTAAGCTACTTACTATTTTAAAACTTATATTCCCCACCTGTGTTCATAAAGCTGAAAGGTGATCTACTGGGGTAAGATACTAGTTTATTAACCACTTTTTGTAGTGAAAGGGGCACCTTGGCAGTGTGGCCATTGCAGAGAATGGGTACACAGCCTTCATTGGTTTAGTCAAAACTAAAAATAAGTTTAGATATGAATGCACAAGAAATGCAAAGGTCAGGACTTCTAGCTGGTAATGAGAAGACAGGAATGGAAATAACAGAAATACATCCTATAATTTACATATGACCTGCCAGAATTTGAAATGGAGTTTTGAAATTGCTTTGTGACTGGCACTGGACTTAAGCAATGTCACTGTTGTCTTGGAGAACTTATCCCAGCATAAAATTATTGCCTTAGGAAAGAGCTCTTCTCAGGAGATGGCAGTGATACTTGAATTACTTAGAATGTAAATCCAAATAAAACTGAAAACAGTTAAGCATTTATCATGGTCTACCCACATCTCCTCTACTACCTTAGAAAAGTAATGCCATTACTGGCTCATATCTGAAGCTGTGGAAGGCTCTAGTCTTTGTACTTGTGTCCTTCTTTCATATATTTAATATTAATAAAATATTGCTTGTCAGATATGGAAATCTATAATGCCATCTATGTATCTACCAATTGATAAACTGTCACATCCTTTGACCCAAAAATGCTTGTATCTGTAACGAAGTCCAGCATTTTGCTGGATGAGAGCCTCCAAGCCCAAGTGAGAGCAGACACTACCCTCTCCCCAAAGTCAGTCGTGCCACATAACTGGTATAAATAAAAGCTACATCGGAAATCTTACCTTTTCTGTTACTTTCTCAACTCCAGTCTTCAGCTCATGTACCATATTGCTGATTTGCTTAGCTTTGCTAAGGCTGTCATCAGGTAACTCTTGATGGTGCTCAATATGCTGGTTAAAGTGGGAAAGTGGTTCTTTCCAGGCTTGCAAAAGTTTCAGTATCAAGTGAGTTAGTTCTTCTCTCTTATAAATTAAAACCATAAAACTCTGTTACTTTGCAACAGATCATATAAACAGTCTTAAACAGTCTCATTGTGAAATCTCAGCAGGACTAAGATTTATATCTGCAATTCAATTCTTACATACTACTCTCTCACTGGTTATTTGCTTACATATAATAACACCCAGAAGCTGTATTTGTCTAGTTTTCAGCTAACACAAACAAGGCCTCATCTCCCTTTGTCCCTCCAGGGGACCTTCTGGACATCCTGGGCAAAGCTCCTCACTCCATCATAACCAAACCCAAAAATGTTGTCTGTCTCCTCTGAAAGGCAAAAGTTTCTCCTAGTGCTGTATCCCCAACTTAATAATTTACTTTTTCTGTGTCTGAAGAGACTCTTCCAGCTTTTCTCTAAACTAATAATGATTTTTTTCTCTTTGCCATTACAACTGTCTAAACCAATTTGCTGTTCTTTTCCCCTTACCTAACTACCAATTCAAAGATAATGATTGCTATTTCTTTCTCCTGATTGCTTTTTGCAGTGACACTGATTAATTAACTTCTCTGCCACATACACACAATGTCTGTTCTAAGTTTCTATTCCGCAGAGATTGCCAGAACAAAATCAAAAGACATCTGTCTCTCAGTCATTTTGACAAAGTACTACTTCAATATCCTTATTAAAACTAGTATGTTATGATCTGAGCATAGGTAACCATATGCAGCTTTTAAAATTCAACAAACTAATGATTCATATGCAATACTTCTGTGATGTGCACTTGTTTGGGGTCAAAACTTAACAGCTTTTTCCTTCCATTATTGATGAAGCTCGGCAGCGTAAAAGCCTCTCTGCCTATCTCCAGCCCAAAGGTGATCATCCCTGTGTGATGAATGAGACATTTGGGGGTTCTGACGGGACGGAAGGTATTTTCCCCTTTCTTCAGGGGAGAGAAAGGAGGCAGTGTGACTCACGGAGTCCTCTTCCAGCACCTCAATCCCCGCTGTATCCCCTTCCGCCCTGTCTCTGCCCGCCGCCGCCGTCCCCCCTTACCGGGATTTTTTGGGCGTATTCTTTGCCGTTGGGGGTCAGCATCCCCGACGTATGGCACTTCCTAGCGGGCTTTCCCAGCTCGTTGTCACGGGGAGGAAAGTGTTTTTCCTACAAGGGAAGAAAACCTAAACATACACCGAGACTACCACCACTACCCTCCATCCCGCCACCTTCCTCGCTATCCCGCCCCGTCGGCAGCCGCTCCCAGGGCGGTGCAGCCCCGCTTCGCAGCAGAGGGGCCGGCCCGGCACTCACTAGCTCGGCGTAGAGCGTCGTGGAGAGGCTGTGAATCCTGCCCGAGTGCCGGATCACCCGGTCGAAGAGATCGGCCACCGTCAGAAGGTGGCAGCCGGAGTCCCCCGGGCCGCAGACCAGCAGCCACAGCAGCGCCGCGACGGCACCTGCGGAGAGCGCGGCGGCGTCGGGAGGTGCGGGCTGCCGGGATGTGCAGCCCGGCCGGGTGTGCAGCCCGCCCACCCCCGCCCGACCCGGCCCGGCCCGGCCCCTTCGCCCTCACCTGCCCTCCCCGCCGCCCGGGCGGGGGCCATGGCACTGCGGAGCTGCGGAGCCCGATGCCCGGCAAGGAGCGGCTGGGATCAGCCGGCGCTGGCGAATCCCCTGCATGCCTTATATATGCCGGGACCTCCCGGCGGTGACGGGTTCCTCCCTGACGTTCGCAGCCCGCGGTCACCGTGAGCAAGCCACCCGGAGCGGGACTCCCGGCTCGGCTGGCGGGCGGGCGCGTCCATCACACCGACAGGACAGACTGCCCCCGGCAGCCCTCTGGACCCGACAGAAATGGGACTCGCGGGCTCTCTGGTGCTGCTGCTGCCCACCCTCGCAGCCGCCCGCCCGCCGCCGGGCCAGGGCTGCCGTGGGTCGGTGTCGCAGCCCCACTATGGGCAGAGCAGAGGAGCGGCTCCAGCCCCACAGAAGTGGCGTGCCCAGGTCCGTACCAGCGGGCCCACGGCCGTCGGAAGGGGTAGGGTGGGAGAAATGAGCCCAGACAAATAAACTACTCATGTCCGTGGGCGTTTATAAAAGGACAGCAATGGGCAAAATGAGGGGTAGGAGAGAAGCCTGGTCTGATTACATTCATCTCTTAGGTGTCTTTTCTAATCACATAGTAAAAATCAGATCTGCTTTTCCTGGTTTCTTGCAGGTGATCAGAGGTATCAACACTGAAGATGTGATAGCTGATGACCGCATGCTTGGTGTTCCAAGTGTGCCTGAGAATAGTTGGTCACATATGGCTAAAAGATTCAGGGAGTAACAAAGCAAAGGACTGCAGTCCGGATCCCTAAAGGGATGCAAGTGCTGTGGACTTGGTTGCTGTCCTCTATTTCTGAGCACGAGATCCTAAGCAGCCCTACAGGACATATAACAGAAGTTGAGATATTGGTCATGAGGAAAATTAGTCAGCTCTGCCCCTGTTGGGGTTTTTCACTGCCAGAGGAACAGTCTGCTGAGAAATGAGGATAAATGTGACATGAAATTGTTGTCTTCCCTTCCCAGCCATTATACTAGAGTCATGTATTTCAGAATTCAACGTGATCCTGAAAACTAGTGAAGTGTCCTGAAGAAAGTAGGGTGCAGTTCAGTTAAAAAAACCCAAAGTACTGTATTTAGACAGGAGCTTCGAGCTGTCCAAATACAGAACAAGGGAGCAGTCAAACAGAAGGGGATCATGATTTGTACAAAATAACAAGCTGAACCTCTATCAGTAGTTTCTTGCTTTGCATTATTCATTTATTCCTTTGGTTTGCAGTCTGGTTTATGTCCTCTGAAATGTTGTCTGTGAGACATGTGAAAGTGTTCTGCTGCCATACATTTTATTGTAAGGCCTCCACTAGAATACTGTGTTCAGTGCTGCACATCCTTTTTCAAGAGATATGAACCAGCTGGAAAGAGCCCAGGGGTGAAAAGCAAGAACGATGACAGGTTACCCCCCCCCCCCAACCTGCAAGTAAAGATTCAATTAAGTGTGGGTTTTAGTCTATCAGGGAAAGACAAGGCAAGGATCCAGTTTTTAGATGTGCATAAGGTAGCAGGAAAGAGAAAGGGAATCAATTATTCAGCAAATTAATGATGGATACAAGATATAATGAGAAATTAAACTGCAAGGAGATTTAAATCAGACATTTGAAAGAACTTCTGGGTTCTAATGGTGAGAAGATTTTACAAACAGGAACAGACTGCTCAGGGACATCATGAAAGCTCCATCATTATCTAACCTGATCTTATAAACTCTCTAGGAGTTTTCAGATAGTCAAAAGTGGTATTCATCCCATGGTGGACAGAAGGATGAGTGAGCAATATCAGACCTCTCTACCTTCCAGCCTGCCAAAGATTTATAGCGCAAGACCAACTGGAGTTCATTATGTATTCAAAAATCACTCCTAAATTTACAACATGAAGGACTAAAAGCTGAAATGAAAAGATTTGTTTCAACCAAATACTACCCACTATTGATTTTCCCTTTTCCTATAACATAACATAACATAACATAACATAACATAACATAACATAACATAACATAACATAACATAACGCAACATGTCACATTTTATTGTTCAGGAAGGGACATGTCACACACTTTTGCTCTGAAAGTTGATGATATGAGTTCTTGAATAAAACAGCATGGAGATTATGTAATCCGGACCTTAAAAAGGAAATGCAAAAAGAGTTGACTACCAACTAAAGGAGTCAACCACTTCCTGAAGGTTGCGTCTCAGTTCTGTGTTTTTTCTGAGTTGTGTGTACAAAACCACTTCATGTAGAAGTGTTTGGGTCTTCTCAGTTCTAACTTCTCAGCTCTTCTCTCTCTTCTCTCATGGAAAGAGCTGTGTCCAGTTTGTGTCCTTCACCCTGCATTCATGATAATAATAAACTTCTATCAAACTTATATCTTTATATTTTTTTCTCCTTCCTCTCACTCTTCACAATATAAACATTCTTTAGTCCCTTCATCTTAAAACAACAGTCCTTGACTCTATTTGTCACTCTGCACAAAATCCTTCATGACTCTGCATCTCATTTAGTAACTCTTCACTCCCTGAGAAGTTGTTTACATTCATCAAATGGATTTTTTTTCTCCCTTATCTGCTCCTTTCAGTCATATTTCTCTGTTTTGATCTTCACTATATCTGCTTTTGTTTATGTCTAGGATGACTTTTTATAATCAAAGCTCCTCATTGTCATCTCCTGCAAAGCCTCCTGCTTTCCTTGTCCTCTCTTGGCTTCTACAACCATACAATTTACTGTTTCTTCTGATATTTCTCTAACTCCTTACAAAGACAACACTTCGTGTCTCTTCAGGTTTATGGGAAGACTTTACAGGAGTTTATCTCGCATTTTACAATCTCGTCAGTAAAAGCAAAAATTCAGCTACTACTTTTTGCTGTCACTTGGAGGTCTGCCTTCCTGCTCCAAATTGGTCTCCTTATGTCCAACTATCTCACACTGCCTCTGCAGCATGTATTTTTAGGTGCATCATGTCTTTCAACTCAAACACAAAAGAGCTAAAGGAGATCACAACTGCTCTTTTCATACATATATATTTATTTTTCTCCCTACAAAAATATTTTATTCTGATTCTCTGTGTACCTCAGAGAGTTTGAACTGAAGATATGCATGTGTTAGGCATGTATGCTGCTGAGTGCTCGCCTCAGATCCATGGCATTCCTGAAAAGAAGTTTGGTTGATGATGGGCCTCTGCTGGAGTTGGAATCTGGAGCTGCTTTCTGCATTCCTCATGTTAATTTGGCAAAGGTGGTTCAACATAATAAAATGTAGCAGCTCTCCTTCCATGGTCCTGCTTGTTTTCTCCTGCATTCTCTTGCTTATGTCTTTGACCTAAGGAATACCATTCTGTCTCAGTTTAAATGAGACACAGGTGTTTTACTAAGGATGAGTTATGAGGAAGACCCAAACTCCTCCCTCTAAGCAATTGTAAATCCGAAATTAGGAGGCTCCAATTGAGGGGAAAAAAATGTGGAAAAAGGAACAGTAACAGCCCTTTATTAAAAGATATATGTATATTGGCAGAAACAATGAAAAAAAACAAGTAAAACAACCAAACAATACTCCTATACCCCCAAATAATCCCCTTCAAAACAAATCAATAAAAAAAAAACAAAGAAAAAAAGGTGAACAGTTCAGTTTGGTGCAATTCTAACCACAGTCAACAAGGGGCGCTGTTTGATCACAGGAGACGCAGAGATTGTAGTGTCCTGTGACAGTCACCAGGGAGTGCTGTTGGATCACTGGAAATGCAGAGCCTGCAGAGCTTTGTGCCAGTCAGCAGTTGGATCACTGGTCGTTGCCATATGGGAATACACCCTCTCTGTTCTTCTGGCCCAATTGTGCGGCATAGTTTTTCCCTCTCCCTTTGATGTGCACAAGAACCACTGCCAAGAAAGGAAAAAATGGGAACAGGGAAAGTTCCTGAAACAGTTCCTCTCCAATGAAAATCCAAGCAGAATCCACAGCTGACAGCCAGACTGAGAACAAAACCAACTCAGAGCTCCTACTCTAACCTTGTTCCAGCTTCAGCAGCCACTTGAACATCTCCCCCCCTCCTCCCCCATTTCCCAGGAGATGAGAAGAAAAAAAAAAGTAAAAAGGAACTCCTCACCCTTCCCCAAAAACAAGATTCTGAAGGCCATTAACTAGGAATGTGGCCTTACCAGCAACTTCTTTTGTGTTACTTAACTGCCCGTTTAAAAATTCTCTCCACACAGTGGGCAGGGGGAAGGGAAAAATTCCTGCTTAGTTTCTAATAACCAGCAAAACCATGACACATTCATAAAAGATAAAAGATCATTTTCAGCACTCTGGAAAACTGGGCATTGAAATAAGAATATCTTCTGAGGAAGCCTGGGTCTTTATGGGACAAATTTCTCAAGGGAAGGATCTTGTCATCCTTAATTTTCAAAATACTAAATTAAAATGGGTGTTCAGGGCATGCAATTCTCTTCCAGTTGTTCAGGATAGGATTTCTGTCTTCTAATTTTAAGCATCCAGAGTTTAGAAATGGATACTTTCTGAGATTCATCTGGAGATAGTTGCCCATCACTAACCTCTGGTGGTGACTGGTTTTACCTGTTGATTATCAGGGGAGCTTAGGGTGATGAGTACAGACTGAATTAGGGCAGAGAAATCTCGTTTTCTGTTTGCAAAGGTAGTCTGTGAGCCGAGGGGGCATGTGCTTGACACATCAAACGGAGCAGATGTGTTGCTTCTTTTGCTATTCCTCTGCTGAACAGCCTATTACAGATGTTGCATGTTTGCCTCCTTTGGAGCTATAGAGATGTCAGGAAAACATCCTCCTTACTATTTGTGACTGTGATTGTAGCACACAAGTGAGAAACGTGTTTTGAAAATCTGCTCTATTTCAACCCTCTGGAGAAGATTAATTCCTCAGATGATCTGCTGAGTACTCATCAGAATGAACATTTGTGCTATTTTAGGGGAAACTTGTATGCACATATAAAGTAAGGAAAACTGAAGATATAGACCCAGTTACAAATTCAAGTAATTTAAGTTTTAGAACCCTTCATTATTATTATAATGTATTATTATGTGTCCTACTAAAGAGGTAGAATAAGTTATGTAAAGACAAATTGGGCTTTATGAGGAATGCCTGACCAAAAAATTGCCATGTTGAAGAGATATTACTGTAAGTCAATGATTTTCACCATACTAAGCATCACGCAAGTCAAGTGGGAAAATCAATGTCTCAATGTTT